ATCTCATCTTGGGGCCATTGAGCCCTTGTGTAACAGAATATGGTCTGTAAACGGTTCATGGATCCGAAGATCAAATTTGGGGGAGAGTGTATTTAGTATGGTACTCCTTTGTTGGTTAACGATGAACCCACTTCTTTTGAGTTCTTCAACATATATTAAGAGCTACTTATTTAGGAGGTTCTGTGATGGAATGAAAACTAAAATCTTACCAGATACTCCTTTCATTGACTTTCAGGCTTTTGAGAGCGAGCAGACATCAGTATAATGAAGGGATAGTTGTGAATGGTGAGGGAAGTGAATATTGGGCTAGGAGTGATCCTTAAGCACAGATACAGGAGTAAGCCCTGGGCACCACCAGATATGAACTCCTACAACCAAATCTATATCTCTATATATTTGCATATAGATTTTCGAGGGAGTGTGTTGGGGATGAAACCCAGGCCTGACACATCGAAGTATGTGCCTTATAACACCCTCACACTTTCATCCCCTAGTTCTGAATACAGCAACTATGATTTATTCAAACAGCTATGATATTTCTTACCATATTTTTACATGCTACATATTTAATATTGATTACTTCCAATGCTCACAATAATTGTACTTTTTGTGTATACTCCCCTCCCCACACCCTCACTACTATTTTTCAGATGAGGGTACCAAAGCTCAAAGGAGTTAAATTGGCTAGGGAAGTGGAGACAGGATGGGGAGAGATAGAGAGAGAGAGAGAGAGAGAGAGAGGGAGAGAGAGAGAGAGAGAGAGAGAGGGAGAGAGAGAGTACTGTGGCTAGGGCGCTCACTTTGTACAGTGACCCACTTGGATTCAATCCCTGAAATCCCATAGGGTCCCCCAAAGTACCGCTAAGAGTGATCCCTGTGTGCAGAGCCAGGAGTAAACTGCTGACCATCACCAGGTACAGCCCAAAAATAAAAACGAAACAAAAAAAGTGGAGACTGGACAAGAATCCTGATGTAGGCAGACCCAATACTAACCCGGGGTTTGGGGCACGTTTTTAGTTGCTAGATGAGATTGCACAAAGTCATGTTCCCCAGCCCTGTCTGTCTCCTCTGGCCTAACTTTTCAAAAACAATAGCAGTGAAAAGGCAGGAATGGGAATGGTGGAAGCAGCCCCTGTGAACTGGAAGGAAATTAAAAAAAAAAATTTAGACCTTGCACAAACAGCCCAAACAAAGGGTTACTGTGGCATTTCTGCACTCACTCACCCTAGAGTGGTACGATGAGCAAAATCCCTCATTTGGGTGATAGAATAAACAATAACACTTAGGCAATGCTTTCTGTGCGCCAGGCACTGTTCTGTGCTCTTCAGGGTTGATTTCACTTCACTTCTAGATAAGAACTGCTTCCTTTTGTCAGTGGAGCGTAGCCACGTCCAGAAGGGTGCAAGGATTTCAGAGCTTAAGGCTCCCTTTGGTGCGAGAGAAGTCTCAGGCACCAGAGCAAAAGGCGGAAGAAACCAAAGAACCCCTGCAGGTTGGGCCTGAGGGTTCCTTTCAGCAATAGCAATAGCACAGCGGGTAGGGCGTTTGCTTTGCTCACGACCGACCCAGGTTCGATTCCCAGCATCCCATATGGTCCCCCGAGCACTGCCAGGAGTGATTCCTGAGTGCATGAACCCTGGGTGTGACCCAAAAGTGGAAAAAAAAAAAAGCCCTCCGGCCCGCCGGTCTGCAACAAAGCATCCATAACACGCTAGTTTCCCAGCCTCCCAGACCCACCCCTACCAGACAGAAGACAGACAGCCCAGGAAGTAGGGGAAAGGTCGAATTTGGGATTGGCTCCGCCCTGGCCTCCAGTTCCGTGCCTTTCTGCTGAGCAGGCAGAGCCGTGGGAACTCCCAGGCTCTCGCCCCCGTTGCCCTGGCCCTTGACCTGGACACACCGCCGAACCGCCGGCCCGGAGTTCAGTGGGCCTGCTGGGATCACCTGGCCCCGCTCTCTGGTTCACCGCCGGCCCTCCACGCAGTGTCTTGCCGCCCCGCGGTAACTCCTTCCCAGCCTCCCGTCCCAGCGTCTGTCTTCCCCAGCTCTGCCGCTGGGTATGGTCGAGACAGCCGGACAGTCGACGTTTGTTTGACTTGCGGGAGGGGTGCTTACACCCCGCCTCCGAATCTGGGTGTAAGGTTAGCCAGTGACCTGTGAGTTCTCGGGTCAAACCTAGAGCATCCTTAAGAAACTTCCTGGGGATTACACACCACATTGGATGGGGTGTAAAGTTAAAAAGGCAAAAAACTATTTTTACTTATATAGAAGCACACAAGGCTCAACATGTAACAGCCAGTTATATGTTGGCTTAATGGCTCCAGGCTGAGATACAATCTTCACACGTTTTCTTCTAAGGAAATTTTTGGGATCATTCTTAGTGGATTATTCATAACAAGCAATACAAAATAAATTATTTAGGGCCTGCTATTAGGGCAGGCTTGGGTGATGGTTGGGAAAATTCAAAATAATGGTGATGGGAAGGTGTAATGATGATGGGATTGATGTTGGAACAGTGAATGTAATAAATTATTGTGAGAACTTTATTAAAATAAAATTTAAAAGTAAAAAAAAAAAGAAACATCCTGGCCCATTAGACTGTTCAGTGCCCAGAGAGCATGCCTTGCACTGGGCCCCACCCTACACCTAACCAGGGCATTTGCTCTCTGATTCACAAGGCCCCCAGAGCACTGAGGCTGGGAGTTAGCCCTCCTCTACCTCCCTATGTCCCCCACTCCCACAAATTATCATCCATCCAGTAACCCAGGAGAGATAGTACAGCGGCCACGTGGGCTCCATTCCCTATATGGTCTCTGAGCACCACCAAGAGTGATCCCTGAGCACAGAGCCAAGAATGGCACAACCCCCAACCCCTCCAAAAAAAAAAAAAAAAACTTCCACTGGTTCTGATGTAGGTCGAAGGAATTGAGAAACCAGGCAGGAGCAGCAGACCAGAGGGCGCATCTTCCTTAAAAAACAACAGAAAACGTCTTTTTTTTTTTAAACATGCATTACTTCCAACGTTCACAATAATTCTACTTTCCATGTATGCTCCTCTCCATTTTACAGATGAAGATACCAACGCTCGCCTCGCCATTCACAGGGATGAGGACTGCAAATTAATCCAATTTCCGGCTTGGGCCCGGGAAGGGCCATCTGGAATCTCCGCACTTCCAGAAAGAGAAGCACACGCGGCTCTTCAGTCATTCCTCGGAGAGGGGGTGGGGATGGGGGTGGGGGTGGGAGGGGGTCTCTGACGCGCTCCGGCCACCTGTGCTGTCCTTGAGATAGAAGCAGCCCGCTGGACGCCCCTCCTACCCCCCCCCCCCCAGCTAGGGTTTTCCATCCACGTGATAGAGGGGACCGGGGTGGGAGTGGGTGGGTTTTAAAGCTCCGACCAGCGGGAAAATGCAGCCCTCGTCACGCGCCCATAGGCAGGCGGCCCTCTGTGACTCACAGGCGCGATGGGGAAGAGGCTGACGCGGGCGCCCGCGCCTGGACCCCCGGGCCCGGGGCGGGGCTGCGGACGTGCTCGCGGGCAGCGCGGCGCGGGCGGGCGGGCATGCGCATGCGCGGGCGCGGGCAGCGGGCGGGCTGTGGCTCTAAAGGGGCGGGGTGAGGCTCTAAGGGGGCGGGGCGAGGGGCGGGCCGGGGCGCGGCTATAAGCGGGCGGTGCGGGGGGGTAGCCACTGCCAAGCTCCGTTCGACTGTGCACGCTGCTGCGTCTGGGACGACTCGCTCTGCCACTTCGCGCCGCTCGCCGCCCCGCGTCCCTCTCGGCTCCGGCCCGGCACTCCGGGACAGCGACCCGGCACTCCGGACCACCCCCCCCCCGTTGCTTCCTGGTCGAGGTAAGCGGCGTTGCGGGCCGCTCTCCCTTCTCGAGCCGGTCGGTTCTGCTGGACCGGTCCCTGTGGCGGGGACTGCGGGGTCCCGAGCAGCCCTTCTTTGCTCCGCAGCCACCTGGCTTCCCAGGTAGCCGCGACAGCCTTGCTCTGTCCGCAGCGGGGCGGGGGGCCCTAGCTAGGATCCATGCCATGCCCCCTGGGATGGGAGCCCCTGACAGCTCTCCCAAATCACCTTTAGCATCTCCTGCTGATGGGGCCCCAGGCCGAGTGCGTGGGATATACCTGCCGGTGTTTCTAGTCTGTAGATTCCCCATATGGTTCCTGAGCCCCTCCACCGACTGCTCCCTGCTCATCGCCAGGAGTAAGCCTATCTGGGTGCACTCTGAGCCTTGGATTCATGTCAACAGGGCCCCTTGGGGCTCTCCGACCCTGCCGGGTGTAGAGCTCATTGCCTGCCTGCTCTTCAATGTTGTGCTAAATTAGTGAACTTGATAGATTGGACTCTCAGAATTATGGGGAGTGGGGGTGGTGGTGAGAGGAGGGGAGGGTATTGAGCGCCAACCCGGCGGGTGCTCAGGGCTTAATCCCCTAGCTCTGTGCCCAGGGATCACCCCTGGCGGTGCTTGGATCCAACCCGGGTTGATGTCTTGCAAGGCAAGCACTTTCCCGCTACATGCTCTCTCCGGCCTCTTTGAGCATTATTTTGACTTGTTCTAAATCGATGATGTTTGGCACGGAGAGGTGATGGAGAGCCCCCGAACGAATTGGGTCTGTCTTTCAGAAAGATTGCCTATCCCTGGACTAGGGGCACTGCGATTTGGGCATGCCCCTCCCCCATCCCGTCCCGGGGAAGTAGGTTTTCTCTTCCAGAAAAATTTAAAAATAAAAATTGAAAAAAAAAACTGTTAAGAAATGCCCATGAATGAGCCGGGAAAGCTGGCTGGGGCCACAGGGGAGTTGTATAAAAATATGAGGACTTGGAAAGAACAGAGCCCTGTTTGGGGGAGGGGGTGGGTGTCTGCCTCGTCTCCCGCTGGCTCCGGCGGGGGCGCCCTGAGTCGGGGCCAGATTCGGTGGATTAATCCGCGTCTCTTTCTCCCTCATCCAGAGGCCTTGCTGCCGCAGAAGCTTTCGGGCTGCAGAGGCGCTCCTCCCTCCGCCATGAAGAACTTGTTCAGCCTCTATCTCCTGGGAGTCGTGCTCACCATCCTCTCCCTCTTCATTAGACTGATGGAGTCACTAGGGGGCTTACTGGAGAGCCCATCCCCGGAGAGCCCCTGGACCACCAGAGGGCAGCTAGCCAGCGCAGAGCCCGCCAAAGGCCTTCCAGACCACCCATCCAGAGGGGTGCAGTAAGACCCCCTCCCCCGCACCCTGGCCTGAACGCTGGCAGCCAGAGGTGGGATCATCATTATCTGTGAACTGTGACCTGGTGTCCTTGAAGTGGGAACCGTCTGGCGCAGTCTGGAAAAAAGACAACCGTGGTGTAACTCTGCAGCCGGGTGAGCCCTCACCCTCATGCCAGACCAGCTGCGGACTTGGGCATCTTCCTGCTGGAGGTTCCCGGAATCCAAGGTGTGGGGGCTGCAGCTGTGGCCTGAGCTGTGAGCACGTGGCATTGTTTTCATTCCCGCTTCTCAAACATCTTCCAAGGAGAGGGCTCCTTTGGCCCAGGTGCCTGCCGTGTTCACTACTCAGCCTGTCTTGTCTGGGGACGATGGGCAGTGTGTGGTTCTCACTGTTATTTGTATATTGAAGTCCATTTTCCAACCGTGTATGTGTTCTAGGGGTCTGCAAGTGGGCAGGGGGTGCTGGCACAGCCCGCTCAGGACATAATAGGTCTTCTTATGGCCACCGTGTGGCCAAGATGAATTTTTTTTTCTAATGAAATAAAAGTTGGCTATATTTTCCACTCTGTGTCCTGTTGACTTTTGCACTAGAAGTTAGGGTCAAGGTAGGATCTGATTTTTCTAGACCTGAGGATTTCTCTCTTAAATCATTGGAGGATGCATCCAAGAGCTGAGGGCAGAAAAAGGGAAGGGCTGGAATGTGGCTCAGAGAGGGAGAGAGAGAGAAAACCCTGCTTCAGGGCCAGTTAGGCCCCAATACTGCAAAAAAGGTGAAAGAAAAATAAAAACAAGGTAAATCAAGGGAATCAGGAGGCATAGGTGTTTGAGTCAGCCTTGTCAAAACCAGACTTGTCTGAGCCTACACCAACTCTTTTTTTTTTTAATTTTTTTTTGGGGGGTCATACTGGTGATGCACAAGGGTTAAGGGGTTTCTCCTGGCTCTGCACTCAGGAATTACCCCTGGCGGTGCTCAGGGGACCATATAGGATGCTGGGAATCAAACCTGGGTCGGCTGTGTGCAAGGCAAACACCCTACCCGTTGTGCTATTGCTCCAGCCCCTACACCAACTCTTGATTCTGTCTCTAAAGAAGAAAACACTGGTTCCAGCCCCTTACCCTCAGTCTCTGGGGGAAGGGGCTCATGTTGAGTTTTCTGTAACGCACTTACTCCCCAGCAGTATTCCACCCCACAGTGATCCAATGTTTTTGTTTTAGAGCCACACCCTGCGGTGTACTGGGGTAACTCCTGGTGGGCTAGAGGGACCATATGAGATGCCAGGGTTCAAACCTGGGTCAGTTGCATGTTAGGCAAGTGCCCTCCTCGCTGAAGTATAGCTCTGCCCTCCCCCCCCCCCCCCCAGTTGGTATAATGTGCACCACACAGAAAACGTTTCTGCTCTACTGGCTGGAAGTAGCTTGGCCTTTACATTACCCTCTTTTTTGGGTCACACCTGGCGATGCAAAGGGGTTACTCCTGGCTCTGCACTCATGAATTATCCCTGGCAGTGCTCAGGGGACCATATGGGATGCTGGGAATTGAACCTGGGTCGGCCGCATGCAAAGCAAACACCCTACCCGCTGTGCTATCGCTCCAGCCCCTACATACCCTCTTTTTCATTTTTCTTTTTGGCCGGGAGAGGTGTGGGACAACATTTGACTGTGCTCAGGGATTCAGGGGTCACTCCTGGCAGAGCTTGGGGGACCGTAAGTGGTTCCAGGATCGAACCTGGGTGGGCCAGGTTCGATGCAAGGTTGAACCCCTTGACCCCTGTAAGATCTTTTAGACCCAAGTCCTGTTTTTCTTGTATCCATTAACCCTCTGACCTCCCGCACCTTTTCCCACAATAATAAACCCACTCACAACCCTCATCACTCATGGGGGATGTGCGTCATTGTGTATAGGGAGAACCTAATTTACTTTGGCCTGAAGGAATAGAGTGTGGTGAGCTCTGCTAAACCAGTTTGTGTCCAGGGTGTTCTTAGATGTCACTAGCTTGAACTAGTAGATGTCATGAACATCTCTCATTGTCCCGCGACCCCTTTGCCCAATATTTCATGCTCCTCACCTTTGGACACAGAGCTGGTGACATCCCACTCCCTGGCATTGGTGCCTGGCTGGGCTTCTGTGACTCATCTTTTGCAAGTCTGAGCACTCAGAAACACACTTGACTTCTTTGATTTTAGTTGGTTCCAGGTAACAATAACCTGACACATCGTTGTCGAGGGAGTTTTCTTCGTATGCCCTTCAGAATGGATTGGGGGTAGGTTGGACTGTAAGTGGGGTAACCAGGCTTTTCCTGTGGTCCCTGAGTTTAGCTTCATCGCAGTAGCTTACAGGGCATTCCAGCTCGGTCAGCGTGTTAGTTCTGGGATCTCCTCAGCGACTTCAGCCATAGAGGTTAGGCCACACCACTGTGTGTCATATCCATCTTTCCCCCACTGTCCCCGTGAACTTGTCACAGAAGTTTTCTGGGATGCAGAACTTGGGCTATTGCTGGGACAGCTCTGGGCAAAACTAGACAGTGAATAACTGTCTATAAAGATGATTTTGAGGGACTGGAGCGATAGTACAATGAGTAGGGCATTTGCCTTGTATGCAGCCAACCCAGGTTCAGCCCTTGGCATCTCATTATGGTTCCCTGAGTGCCACCAAGTGCCTGAGCACAGAACCAAGAATAAGCCCTGAACACAGTCAGATGTGGGCCCCAAACAAAATGAAAACAAGAAAAAGATGAGTTTGAACTGGCATCTGTCACTCCAAACATTTATGGATTTATCTTTTTTTGGTTTTTTGTTTGTTTGTTTTTTTGTTTTTTGGGTCACACCGGCAATGCACAGGGGTTACTCTTGGCTCTGCACTCAGAAATTACTCTTGGCAGTGCTCAGGGGACCATATGAGATGCTGGGAATTGAACCCGGGTTGGCTGCATGCAAGGCAAATGCCCTATCTGCTGTGCTATCACTCCAGCCCCCCCCTTTTTTTTTTTGTCCACATCTGGTTGCACTCAGAGTTACTCCTGGCTCTGCACTTGGGAATCACACCTGGCAGGTCTCTGGGGACCATATGGGATGCCAGGGATTGACCCCAGGTTGGCCACCTACAAAGCCAGTGCCCTCCCAGCTGAACTATCACTCCAGCCCTCTGGATTTATCTTTTACCAGGCTGGAGAAGCAGCAGTGGCTCCTGGGAGTTCTGTGAGCCCACTGGCCTCTCAAGACCCATCCTTTGCTGGCTTCCGAGCTGGCTAGTTTTTATCCCAACCTATCTTGGGCTGTTTTTTTTGTCAATGGCAACTGGCAGTCCAATTCAAGATGCTCTGGGGGCTGGAGTGGTAGCACAGCGGGTAGGGCATTTGCCTTTCACGCGGCCGACCCAGGTTTGATGCCCAGCATCCCATATGGTCCCCTGAGCACTGTCAGGAGTGATTCCTGAGTGCAAAGCCAGGAGTGACCCCTGAGCATTGCCAGGCATGACACGAAAAGCAAAAAAAAAAAAAAAATTTAAAAAATAAAGATGCTCTGTTTGGCTCTCTGACTCATCACTTGCTCTCCTAGCTTACCGGATAAGTTAGTAGGTGATAAAGACATTCTTATCAAGTACGCTGCTCCTGTGTGACATGGCACCAGCTTTGTAGCTACCCGCAGGATCTCTTGCTTGTCTGTCCTCCAAGTAATTATCACACATCTTAGAGGGTTTGTTTTGGCTCTCTCTCTCTCTCTCTCTCTCTCTCTCTCTCTCTCTCTCTCTCTCTCTGTGTGTGTGTGTGCGTGTTTGTGTGTGTGTGTGTGTGTGTGTGTGTGAGAGAGAGAGAGAGAGAGAGAGAGAGAGGAGAGAGAGAGAGATCTGTTTTTTTGTAATTGCTTTTGACCACACTGATTATGCTCAGAGCTTACTTCTGACTCTGCACTCAGGGACCACTCTTGGCTGAGCTTGGACCCTCTGGGCTATCAGGGATCAAGGCAATTGCCCTGCCGGCTGTGCTCTCTCTCTGTGGTCCCCTGTATTTTCAATTTATTTACTTCTTTCTTGAATACACCTAGTAGTGCTTGGGACTTACCTGATTCTGCTCAGGGATGGCTCCTGGAAGGACTTAGGAAACTATATGTAGTGTTGGAGATAAAACCTGGGTTGGTCACATTCAAGGCAAGCACCTTAACTTCTGGGATCTCTCTCTGGCTCTGATGTTTGATTGAAGATTATACGCACCACTCTCCTCTGGATGCCAGTCCCTGTATGTTTGTTTGTTTTTGTTTGTTTGTTTATTTTCTATGTGGGGGGGAGGTGCATACCTGACAATGCTCAGGGATTACTCCTGGGTCTGCACTCAGAAATCACGTCTGGCGGAGCTCAGGGGACCATATGGGATCCTGGGGATTGAACCTGGTTGGTGGCATGCAAGTCAAGGTTCCCACCCATTTTCCTCTGGCTCAGGCACCCAAATCTCCTTACCTTTTAAAGACACCCAAGCCTCGCTTCAGCAGCACATATACTAAAATTGGAATGATACAGAGAAGATTAGCATGGCCCTTGCGCAAGGATGACACGCAAATTTGTGAAGCGTTCCATATTTGTTGGGCACTGGTGGAGGGATGGGTATTTGATCATTGTATAATTGAAACCCAAGCACAAAAAAATTGTAAGTCTACAACTGTACCTCATGGTGCCTCACTAATAAAAATTAAATAAATAAATAAAAATTAAAAAATTGAAAATAAATAGACATATGAACTTATGCAACATAATCCTCCTTTCTGTCTTATAACAGAACAATTGTAAGGATGCCCTCCCAGGAAACAGAGTTGGGGCCTGATCAAGGAATTTTTCTTTCCCCCAGGTAAGAAGCCTTCATTACATCATCATCACTAGGCTGCATGTCCCCCATCCCTCACCCTTCCTCCACATTGCACTGACCCTGTGCCAGTCCCACCATGTGAATTGAGAGGTGGATTGGGTTGTCTTCCGGTTGACAGATTTCTGTCTCAAGTCATATCTGAGAGGGACTAGAGTGATAGTACAGTGGATAGGATGTTTGCCTTGCACACAGCTGACCTGGGTTCGATTCCCAGCATCCCATATGGTCCCTCGAGCACTG